TAAAGTCTTTATAAATTAATACTTATAACTCTCAATATATTAGGTATATCTTCCGGAAATTTGGCAGTATTTCAGTTAATATTACAAGTTCTTTCACATATAAAAAGTCATATTTCTTAGTGAAGTAATTTTAATAAAATAAAATAAAGATTTGTCCATGAATATATTATTTGTTTTGAATAGTTTGTGTGCAAAATAATTTTCATGTTAAAATTAAAAATACTTTTTGTCATCTCAAAAATTTCAAATTTCCTTTGTGTAATCCCTAAAACCTCCAAATGCATTTCAAACGTTTATTTTTCACTAAATCCTTATAGTTTATTTGTTATATTCTCTATCCTGTCTCAAAACTTGATCTTTAAATTCGACCGACCTCGTAACCACCAAAAAAAAATCAAAATAAACCAAAATTAACCTTTTTTTCTTTCTAGAATGACTTCAAATTATAACATGAAACTACATTGATTTATCCTAAGTAGCTCTAAGTTTGTAGAAGTATTAACTCTATAAAGACTTTAAACGAGTACAAAGAGGCCCCAGGTGGTTTGGATGTTTGACTTGTGATCTGAAGGTCGTGGAATCGAATCCCTATCCCACCAAACATGCTTGCCCTTTCAGCTGTGGGGGTGTTATAAAGTGAAGGTCAGTCCCACTATTCATTGGTAAAAGAGTAGCTCAAGAATCGGTGGTGGGTGGTGATGACTAGCTACCTTCCCTCTAGTCTTTCAATACTAAATTAGGGATCGCTAGTGCAGATCGCCCTTGTGTAGCTTTGCGCAAAATTAAAACAAACCAAACAAAGAGGTCACATGTTCGGTCAAGTTGACCGAGCCCATGTTGAGAGAGTTAATTGTTCAATCATTCTCTGTAGGCTTGCACCTGTCCCTTTAAGGGCAGAAGGTATTAAGATATATATGCTATGTAAAGCCAAGTTATGCTACCTAGTAATATAACAAGTAATAATAAGTAAGATACTACTTTTAATATATTATGTATATTTACACAAAATTTGGCAGTCTTTCAGTAAGCATTGTAAGTCTTTCACATACAGAAAATCATATTTTAAATAAATTGAAAAAGGTTTGTCTGTGAATATATTGAGTATTTGTTTTGAATAGTCTGTGTGCAAAGTGATTTTCATGTTAAAATTAAAAATACTTTTTTTCATCTCAAAAATCTCAGATTTGATCATGTATAATCTCTAAAACCTCCTAAATACATTACAAATGTTTATTTTCAGTAAAATTTTATATCTTATCTCTTATTTTTTCTTCCCTAACTCTATGACAACATTGGTCAATTTGACAGACCTTGTAACCACCAAAATAAATCTACATTATCTTCCTTTTCTTTCTAGAATGTCTTTAAATTGTAACATGAAACTACATTTGTTTATCCTAAGTAGCTTTAAACTTGTAACAGTATACATCTATTTACAATTCAATTTTATTGTTTTATTGCCCTTTGAACTTTGTCTGACTACTGTTCTTACCATTATAAGTTGTAAATCACATGGGGAACGTGGAGGTCATGTTATGCTATCGAATTACATTACCCACGTGGTGTGTGCCAAGTGAAACATTTTTATTATATTATTATTATTTATTTTACCTAATTTAACCTTAAATAGCCTAAAGAGATCCCCATTATTACATTTCAGTTACTTTTATAATAATAAATAAAGAACAGACTTGAAAAACGATAAATAAAGTACTTCCCTTATTTTTTTTTCTTGCTGTTGATTGTCGATGACACTTAACCCTATTTTATTTATAGTAATGGTAGTAATGCACAAAAGAACATAGACTAATAACATGCAAAAAGTAGAGAATTTCCCTCAACTCTTCAAAACTTTTTTTTGGCTTTCTAACAGTGCAACAAGAACCATTACAAATTCATTCATACTAGTTGTATGAAGCTTGTACTAACAGTGAAATTGACAATTCTACATTCAGAACTCAATGTAATATAATACGACATTTGATAGATGAAAGCCTTGACTTTCTGTTGGTTATAGATAATATAGAATTAAACATAATACAGAACTAGTAACAAATCCTGAAAGAGAGGATGTGACAGGTGGATTTGGCAAGAGGGGCCTGATTTGATGGCTCTGTAACAAAACAAAATTGAAGGCTATATAAATTCTGGTTTTTCTGAGCAATGACAATTTTATAGTGAGTAATTTGTGTTTAATTTTGTACTTATTGGAGGAGTGGTGAATAAAATAGAGAAAAGGAGATGCCTAGAGAAATGTAATCACATGTGTCACAGTAGGGGAAATTCAAGATTTTTTTAAATACTGCCTTATAAAATTAAGAAATTAAAACTTGTAATTATTAAAATATGGATTATTAGTCAAGATTTTATGCTATTCTAATTGGTATAACATAAAAAGTAGATTAATAAAACTGTGAATGTAAGTCAGTAAAAAAACCTTATTACATGCTCAGTGAAGGATGCCAGTCATGATAGAGTTAAAGGAGTATAGAGAATAAAACATGTGGTATGCCTGCATAGTGCAGCATTATTATAGTGGTTTTCAATAAAATATTGATTATAAAAAAGAAATAAATACATACATTCTCATAAGCTTTGTTACATGGAAAGCTTTTTCCTTCTCAGTTAGAGAAAAAAGAAAACTTCAAACAATTTGACAAGTGTTACAAACTGTTTTTTAAAAAATAAGATCAAAAACTAATAACTATATCATATTTAAAATAGAACTAAAGAAAATAACTGTGGATCTCTTCCTCAGTTTTTTTTAAAAAAGGTGTTTTGGATGGTGGGACAAGAAGTGGACAGATTCAGAAATCCAAAAACAGTTAAATATAGTCCTTCTTTTGAATCAGAATATGCAAGTAGCAAAATGTGTTTGCAGAAGAGGAACTTTACATAGTGTCCATGCTACCTACCTTATCAGCAATGGCCTTAACTTATTCTTTTTCTTTCTTGGATAGCTCATTATGTTTGAGTTGTCAGGATAGTTACCTTCAGCCATTTCCAAAACTAAGAATTTATTGTAAATCTGTTAGTTCTTTTTCATACTGTGCAGCTCCTGGAACACATAGGAACATAATAAAGCATGAACTATGCTCTTTTCAATTATATCTTTCTTGGCATACATAAGGCATTCTGCCACATTCCTTAAGGGCATTTGTCTCTTCATCAGTTCTGAGTCTGTCTCACCAAAAACTTGAGCAGCTCTTGTTGACTCATAAATCATTTCAGTGTTGCATTCACCAATGATTCTGCTGTACTAAGACAGACAATCCTTGAAACTTAATGCAATATAGTTTCATACAGATTAATTACACTACTGTAGACTTGGTTAGTGGTCTAAAATGTTTACCAGGGCTACACAATCTGTCCTAATGCTTGTGGGTGATATGTTTTTTTGAAATTATTCAATCCTATTTACCATAATTAATGCCCCAAGTAAATCACTAACGTTTTATCAGGACTGTCATATGGAGATATGGAGAGTTGATTTTTCATAAAAACTGTGCCCATTAACTATTTTGTTTCTTATATATGACAGGCTTGTATGATCTTCTGCCATTTTTGTCTTCATTTAGCTTTGCACTGTAGATGGGACATTTGTTTCTTTTAAGAGATAATTTTGTGACAACTGATATTCCATTGTGTTCACATTTGCATCTGCTGCACTTATTACCTTTTGAACAATGTCTGTTGAATATCTCCTCAGGATTGTAGGTTCTGTACAGCTTCTGAATGTATTAGATAGTATTTTGTTATGAAAAATGAGTTACAAAAGTGATGACCACTTCCTGATGTTTAGATAAATTTTGGTTAGAAGAGGTATATATAAAGTCTCATACTACATCATTTTTAAGTGGATATTATGTTTGTAAACTGTAATCATCTTCACTGAAAGAAAACAATTCTATGAAAAAGGAAGAATGTAAAACCTTATTCTGGATTTATCAAGAAAACTTTGACATCAAAATGCTTGTAGTCAAGTTACATTTGTAACTGTTTTTTTTCTTTGTTTTATTTTTTTAGGATAAATTCAGTTAAAGCCCAGCCTGAGAAAGGAGAGAAACGCAGTGCTCATAATGCAATTGAACGTAGGTACAGAAGCAGTATCAATGACAAAATCACAGAATTAAAAAATATTGTTGTTGGGGAAGATGCAAAGGTAAGGCATTTAACATGTACAGGATGTGACATTTTTTAATTTGATGTGATTATAAATAAATGTCTTAAACTCATCTTATAGTGTTGCTATAGTAGAAGAAGGACAGTTAAATACTGGAACCTACAGAAATTAGGCCTATACTTTGTGCTGTCCACAAACATTCCTATCGCATAGACAAATTTCTTATCCCCTTATCTACCCTCTTACTACTAGAAACTGTGGTTGATGACTTGTTCTTTTTTTGTTAATGAAATCACATTATGCACTTCCAGAAAGATTATAACAAGCTTTGTTGTAGCCTCAGTTTTGTTTTTTTACCAACATTCTTGTTAGAAGAAACTATTAGCATCTGCTTCTTCAGTCCTTTCAAAAATGAAATAGTGCCTTATTTTCATCATGACTAATAATTTTGCTCTATAGTTTTTCTGAAAGGTAGAAAACTAAAATTCTTACAAACCAAAAGTAAAATTTGTAGTATAATAACTTGATAAACTGTAAAACTATTACTGAGGGCAGTGAACTCTATGACTATGGGCTGGTTGTAATCCAGCCAGCCCATAATCCACTAAATTATCCATGTGAGTAGTCATACCATAATTTTTGATAATTGATGCATATCTTCATGAAATTTTACAGATTATTAGTAAACATTACAAGGCTTCCATTTGCAAAATATCAGGTTTTTAATTAAATATTAAGATTTTTTAATTAACGATTTGTTGTGAGTTATTTTCATTTAGAATGTTGACTATCCAACATGTATAATAATTTTGATTTTAAGATTAAAAAATTTTCTTTCTCTGAAAATTGTTAAGTTTCATTTGTGTAATCTTCTAAATATCTATCAAACTTTCTTTTTCTTTTAAGAAAAACTTTATATTTTATCTGTTATTTTCTCTCTTTTAACTACATACAGGGCTGGTTGATTTGAGCAACTTCATAACCATCGTAAAAACTTAAGAATTAGATTACGTTTTTTTTACATTCTACAATGACTTCATTTTGTAACAGGAAATCACAGATGTTTATTTTAAATAGCTTAAATCTTGTAACATTATATATCTATTTATATTTATTATTTTTGTTTTATTGATCTATAAGCCATGTCTGAAACAATGATGCTACAGAAGATGCAGTCATGCGATGCATGTGCAGCTAATGTTACTGTATTCAGTAGAATAAAACTGGTCTTTGCAAAGTGCAACTATCTTAGCTTTGTACTACTAGTGCACCAGTATTTTTGTAAAATACAATCACATTTCGGTTATAATACATTACAAGTGCATATATATATATATATGTGTGT